GGAGAGGAAAGTGGCCATACCTTCCGGGAGAAGAAAAGAAGGCAGGAGACCTTGTCCGATCTCCCTTTCAACACAAAAACTGGTCTCCTAGGTAAAATGACTAATGCTATTTAATAACAGGAGGATCTTTATGGAATTGTCTTAATTGAATGTGTCTGTAAAGACTTCTGATAAGAGAAAATAAAACAGAAGCTTTGGATTTATGAACATTAGTCTCTGGAAACCATCCCATCATCTGAAATATAAAATAAAGATATTCCATAGACCAAATGCTCCCCATGGTATAAAACATTGCCATTGTGTGAGGTAATTACCTGTGTAATTCACTTAGAGACCTCATTCTTTATATATTTTTAGTCTACTTTTATCATTATCCTCAACCTATTAACTGTCTAGACTAATTAAATATGAGTTGTTTCCTTTTCATTGTGTTTTAAACTTTAAAATGATATTGCTTAACTTAACCTCTTTTTTTTCTTCATCATTTGATGTTACTACAAGTAGATTCTGAAAAGCCTAAATTTATGTCATAATTCTTATAATAGACTTAGAGTTAAGTACGTCATCTCAGGGTTCTGAGAGTTACCTTGACAATGCCTATAAATTATCCCCTAGTAGTTTAATTAATTCCGACTTATGTAATTCAGTGCTTATATTATTCTTAATTATGTTTGTTTAAAAGGTTTTGAAGGTACTTATATCAGCAAAGTGGTATCCCACATGCTTCATTTTTATATTCATTTGCAGAATTCTACCATGGTGTTTTATCTGCCTCACTCTTTGGCCTGATAAGCTGATTTATGTCATGTAGAGAACAAGCTGAACAGATTTTCATGATGGATAAGACTTCATTTCAGTACCCTGGAAAATCTAAAATCCTTAGGGATAGAGGGCGGTGGACTCATCTACTAATAAAAGACAAGTCCAGGAAGTCAACTACTCACCTTACACTGTCCCATAGCCTCTGTTTAGAAATGTAAGCATTTACAGCTATTAAGAAAAGTGTTAGTACAGTACTTCATTCATTTACTATTCATCACAAATATTAAGCACATTTATTCATCATTGAGTATGGAGAGGTGAATAAGCAGACATGATCTATATCCTCATGAAGCTGACAGTTCAATGGGGAAGGCAACAGTAAACAAATATAAAAATAACCACACAGTTTGATAAAGTCTTTTAAAATATTACTTGTTGCTTTGAAAAAAAAACAGGAAAGGAAACATACTTTGGACAGAGACTTTTTTAAATGAAGTGATGTACAAACTGAGGTTAATCACAAGGTGTGGCTGGCATAGGAGGGGAAAGAGGTGTGAGGTGTGTGATATTTTCAACAAGGAAAACAGCATGGACCCAGCCATTGAGCAGGAAGAAGTTTGGTTCCTTTGATTAGATGAGTGAAAGCCAGGGTAGCAAGAGGTAAGCATGGGCAGGCGGAAATGACAAAGAAAGGACAAAAGAGGTGTTGCAGAAATGAAGCCATGTAGGCCATGATGAACGGTACAAGGAGAAAACCTTCTCCATTCAAAACACCCATCCCTGTGGATGGCCAGCTGCCCTCACAACACTCTTCAGACTCCAACCAAGTATCTTTCCCTCCAACCACCCAGAAGGAAGAGGGAATTGGCTGGTTGGTGAGTGTAAAAGAGGAAACTCATTACAGGTAGCTCTTATCCTTCCTCTCTCCCCATTTCTTTGGGAAATATACACCTTGAGAAGCACTCACTCTTCAGTCTTTCTCAAGGACATAGGGCAAGTTCCATGGGGGGAGAAACAAAAGCCTTCCACTTCCCAGCTCTCCAGAGGTAAGCCAAACTCTCAATATGAGAGATTTGGATTAGAAGGCCCACTCTCCCTTAAATATAAGCCAAAGTCCTCAAAATGTATTTATCAACACTAATGAAAGTGTATCTTAATTAATGCATTTATTAATAAGATATGACATTAGTCAGTATGACTATACCATGTAACGTATCGACTCTTGCTGCAGAAACTAGTTAGATGCTTACCAAATCCATTTTCTTTTTCTTTTGGGGTATACAGCTTAAACGCATTGCTCAACATGCCTTGCAATGAGGTATTGCTTTACAAATGAGTACTCATCTGTGAATTATAAGTGGAAATAATGCATGCTACTCCCAAGCCTGGCCCATATAAATTATCCTTGCATAATCTTCCCTTCTCTCTTTTTTCTAATCTCTGATCAGATGGACTAGTGTCCAACTGAGTGAACCTCTGAGAACCTGAAGGACAGCAGAGTCACTGGATAGCTGGAGAAAGCTGCCCTCCAAACACAGATAGGGCTGTATGTGAGTCAACAGTAATCACCTCTTGGGTGTTCCTGGGATTTAGTGTATTGCTTGTTACAGCAGTTAGGGTAGGAAAGAGTGGTGTCAGTGGGCATCCACTGAACCATCAGCCTGTGATGGTCGGCAGGTGAATGTGAACTTCCTTGAACTGCTGAATTACTTGGAAGGCAGCTATCTACTAAGTAACAGATAATTCACTGAAGTGTTTCCAACAATGGGCTAATACAATCCGATGTAATTTCTTAGAAATATCATGCTGCTTAGTGGGTGTAAAACGAATGTAAATAGGTCAACAGTGTTGGTAAATAGACCTGGAAGGAAAAAGCAAGGAGATGATAATGGCCCTGTCTGGAGAAGTAGCAGGGATGGAAAGAATGATGTGAGATACAGTTTGGAGGCAGAATTGATAAGATACATTAATGTTTATAGCCACTTCAATGGAATAATTTATTTAAGCCAGAGGAATAGCAATAAGAGTCAATGTTTCAAAATTAGCATTGAGCCCAGAACTGCACTAATATTCCACCATACACCTATTTCTAATAACTGTCTTCAACGACCCTGCCTTGATGTATGCAGAATAGCTCCCGTATGCCATATGTTTTAAAAAGGTAAGGTGTGAGTATAGAATTTTGGCTACATAAAACTTAGTAAATCTAATTTTTATTTTCTTCCAAATCAGAAAGGTATTTTGAGGTGTTTAAAATAAGGCTTCAATGTAAGACAGAAAGGGGCCCAACAATGCCTGTGTCTCTATAAGTATTCATACATATTTTTGAGGGAATATTATAAATTATAAGCTGCTAGGCACATTATGATCACAAAAAGATGACTTATTAAGAAAATATATTAGAACATCCCAAGCAAATGCTGACAATTTTCAAAAAGAATTAAAAGTTACTTTTTAAATCTTTGTTACCTTGAGACTAATTTTTAAATGTTAGCAAATATTCTCACATATGGCAGAGAATCTCTTCCATTATGGAAAGAATCAGAGTCACTGATTGTTAAAATGAGGAACCAGAATTATGAGTATTCAATGTTACTTACATGAATGTTTGATCCTCTAGACCATGAAATTTCATATAAATGATCCTTTTCACACACTCAGAATTCATAATCTAATTCTGAATCAATATAGACAGGCTTGCAAAGGAAAAGCTGAATAAGTATTAAATTCAGCATGGAAACAGCATTTTGGATATAATTACCTCTACTATACATTATTTTGGTTGTATTTTAAACACTTAGATTTTGCAATTAAATTCTTATCTTTTCTCTTCTCTATATGTCAATAATTGAAGAATGATTTCCCTTTAAAAGCACACCAGACTTTCAAATGCATTTTTACAAATCTAGGTCTATTAAGCACATCTGTTTCCAACTTTAACAATTGCTAATCTTTCCATCACCAGTTCTTAGACAGGCATGTTTTTGCTTTTAACATTTTTGGCATCTACAACAGAAATTACACTTGTATTCAAACCTTCATAGAGATGATGAGCTATGATAAATGCAAAGGTCATTATCAGAATTTTTGAGGAAAAAGGGAGTAAGAAAGAATAACTTACATGAAATTTTAAAGAACAAATCATGACACACCTTCTGATTGTCAATCAACTGTATGGAGACTGAATATTTTACGCTTATACTTGTGCTACAATACTATTTTTAAATGTAGCCTAAAATTCTTGTCTGTTATAACCCATTACAAGAAATGATTAAACAAAGAATATATAAATAATTAAACTCATTCTAAGTAGTCTTGTTTGTTTAGTTTTTAATCATTTTTAAAAATCTAACCTTACTTTATAAAAATAATTTAAACATGTGTATATAACACATTTCTTCAAAAAAAAATCCTAAGAACATCAGAAATGTTTGTTAGGAATGAAAGGACATATTTAAAAAATTTTTCCATATGAATAATTCAAACAGTGTTTGATCGTTATATTTATAAACTTTCAATGTCCACAAAATTTTACATTCATTGAGTTCATTATTCAACTTTGTGGTTCATTTAACTGACATATGCACTCAAAAGACAACTGTTTCACAATTTTGAGGTTTCCCTTGTTCTGAAACCCTATCAGCATTTTATCTATCAAAAGTATCATATATGTATTAATAAATACTTTTGAATGGTCATCAAATACAGATCCACCTTACACTGTGTAACATCACACTTTTATTTTTTCTCCTCTCACTTACTTTGCTACCAAAAATCATATTTGAACAGAAAACATTAAACATTTTCAAATATACATATTGCTTTTTAAACCAACTCAAAAACTTGACTTTTTCAGTATATTTGCTACATAAATGTTACTCAAATAAAGGCTTACGAAACTAAGATTATCAAGTCTGTACTGCACACTAGTGGCAAGTGGTAGTAAATGCATTCTTTTTTTAAACAAATTTTCCACTAATTGCATCTTAAATATTAGCTTTTTCAGTCAAAATTAGAACCCATTATATTATAGAGCACATAAACACATATTCTAAACACAATGTGTTCTTGTGTCATGAACTATTTTTCCAGTATACATCAATGCATTTTGAATGTCATACCCAGAGAGAGGTTCCTGTGCATGTAAATACTATGAATCCATATATCCATGTATATGTTTGTGCAAAGAGAGAAAAAGCTAGGCTTCATTTCTTCCTTTACATCATATTCCCTCATACCTCTTTCACATGTTCTGGCTTGGATTCTTTCAGTTCTTCATACTTCCACTTCCATAGAGACAAAGCCGACTCCAGCCTCTCTATTTCTTTTTCCAAAGCTGTGCGCATTCTAAATAATTTAAAAATTAAAAGAAAAAAAGTCAGCTTCAATTGTAAAATAATTTCAAGGATGCATTCAATTTTATAGCCATTTTCCTAATTTTTGATATTTGTATCTGATCATAATGAGAGAAAACATTTTGCAACTTATTAAAAATTACAAATATTGAATAAAACTTTTTTAGTTTATTATTCTGACAATGAACTTTACAGGAGATTACGTATATTTAATTTGGCTTTGCCAGTATTAACATTCTGCTTGATTTCTTCCATGTATTTCATGCATGCCTCTCAATTCCTCTCACTCATAATATTTTCTTACATAGGAGGATATACATGTTTCTAATTTTAACATGGTATTCTATCCATCTTCATATTGTGGCTGTATGTGAATGAAAAAAATCATTTGAAATGACACAGAATTCCAACAGGCCACCTAACAATCTTAAAAAATAGTCATTTATTGGGGATCTAAAAATAATTTTAAGTATTTCAAATTTGGTTGTAAAAAAGAAATTTCACTGGGATCCTTATTTAAATTATTCTAAATAACTGAAATTAATTTCTCTATTTGTAGAACTAGCAACAGAACTAGGATTAAAATTTAGTCCTTTAGGCCGGGCACGGTGGCTCACGCCTATAATCCCAGCACTTTGGGAGGCCGAGGCGGACGGATCACGAGGTCAGGAGATCAAGACCATCCTGGCGAACACGGTGAAACCCCGTCTCTACAAAAAATTAGTCCGGTGTGGTGGCGGCGCCTGTAGTCCCAGCTACTCGGGAGGCTGAGGCAGGAGAATGGCGGGAACCCGGGAGGCGGAGCTTGCAGTGAGCTGAGATCGTGCCACTCACTCCAGCCTGGGGGACAGAGCGAGACTCAGCTTAAAAAAAAAAAGAAAAAATAAATAAAAAATTTTGTCCTTTAATACACCAACCACTGGATTTTTGTTCTTTTTTTTTTTTTTTTTTTTGCCCACAATGTCTGTTAGAGTCATTGATAATTGTTTTATTTCTGGTTGTAATGAACACATATTGACCTTTGAAGCTGGCCTGTTCTTATCTGTAAGGTAGATTTGATTACTATTCAGAAATACTCGCGGATCACGAGGTCAGGAGATCGAGACCATCCTGGCAAACACGGTGAAACCCCGTCTCTACTAAAAAATTACAAAAAAAAAAAAAGAAAACTAGCCGGGCATGGTGGCGGCGCCTGTAGTCCCATCTACCCGGGAGGCTGAGGCAGGAGAACGGCGGGAACCCGGGAGGCGGAGCTTGCAGTGAGCCGAGGCCCGGCCCCTGCACTCCAGCCTGGGCTACAGAGCGAGACTCCGTCTCAAAAAAAAAAAAAAAAAAAAAAAAAAAAAAATACTCATTGATTTTCCTCCATTTCCACGGACAGAGTTGTTTTCCTCATTCCTCAATTCTAGAATTTGACAATGAGATATTAGCAAAGACGACAGAAACAAAAGTTTGAAAAGAACTTGTATGTTTGAGCACCAGGTAAATACACTTTGATTGTTATATGACACTGAGATTTTGTGATTGTTAGTCACATAGTTATTGTATTCATAATTAACTAATATACAGCTCTATTTCAGTGATATTAAATGTGACTAGAAAGATCTTAGGAACATATTCACAGAGCTAGAAGACGCAGGCAGAATCAAAATTGAATGTCATTTACATATTAATAAGAAATATGATTCTTCTTGGTAACAATACTATGATAATTCAAAGTAGTGTCAGACTGTAAATACATTAGTTTACTCCAATCAAATGGAGAAGCAGTCTATTAAAAAGTTATATAATTATATTTACATAAATCAAGCCATAAAATTGAAAGAGGATGTAATAGAATTAGTTAGAGCTTAGCTTAACCTCAAAAGAGACAGGTTGCAAAAAAAAAAAAATGGTGCAAAGCACCCCTTACAGTACTCTGATCCGGAATCCCTTATTAACATAGCAAATATATTAAACAAAATTAACAAACAAAAAGATTCAACTTGAAAGTTTAGGTCTTACGAACACTGAATATGAATGTTTATAATCCAGATTAACCACAGCAGTCACAATTTCAGATAGAAAAGTAAACCTAGCCAGCTGAGGACACCCAAGTTGCTTATTATGATATAATTTGTGTTTCAGTAGTTGTGTTTGAGATGATGAGAGGAAAAGAATTAAATATAGAAATGATAAACAAATCAGTATTAGTATTTTGTGTTAGATTTAGAAATTATGTGTACAAATCATTGTAAGATGAACTATATTGCATATCTAACATTTGAGTGCATTTTAGGTTTGGGGTGATAAATTAGAATATTTAAAAGATATTGAATATTGACTTAGACCTGTGAATTTATATTGAAAATTATAATAAAATTGTACTAAGTTTGTAACTTCATTGGAATGTTTAAGATAAGAATCACCATATTTATAATTTTAATTTTTTAGATTTTCTTGAGTAGGACGTGGGAATGTCTTGTCGGTAACTGAAAAACTTGAAAAGCAAATGGCATATGTTAAATTAATAAAATAATTTTATAAAAGATTTTAATTAACTGTATTTGTGTAATGAAGCATATATTTATGTTTCTCCTTAAAATTAATTTTGAGAATTATTTTATTTATAATAGAATAATGGGAACATACTTGAAAATTACCTGGAGTTAAAATCATACATGTTGTGAAATCAAATGTCTGCTTTTGATGTTATACTTTAATGAATCAAATGACAATTTAGAAACTCAAAATAAATTCAAAAATTTTCGAAGAAAGTAATATTTACCTCAAGTATACATCATAAAGAAAATATCTGATATGTATTTGTTTCCTAAAGGAAAATTATGCATTTTTATTATGAAAAAGGTTACAATTTGGTTAGGGGAGTGAGAAAAAAAGGAATTCATAAAAAATTATTTAATGACAATGGGATACTTAAATTGTTTTAGTATTTAGATAGTCCCATCATAAACTTTTGTGTCTCTGTGCCAGCATTAAGGACATTGCGTGTCTAAATTTATGCAGCAGAGGGCACTCTATAAGTCCTTAATTTTCTAGCCTAATCATTTTATTCTGTGTTTCAGAGAGATTTTCAAAGTTGATGAATAATATAGTTAAATTTATAATTGAGATGTATATTATTGTCAGAGCATTTGAGCTACAAGAAGGCAAACAATATTTACTCTAAAATGTTGCATATTTTATGTACACATTCTTCATGAGAATGAAATTAAAAAGGCAAAGCTTAGCAAAAATGTAGTATCTTTAATATGATGATATAAACTTTAAAAAGATCATATTGCTAAAATATATAAAATTTGTAGAATCTAAATATAAAATATGAACCAAAATTATTTTTATGAAAAGTTGTGATTATATTTCCATGCATTTTTTGATGCTTTGTTTACTGTCACAATTCCACAATAATTGGAAATAAAATTTAAATTTAAATATTACTCAAATATTTCTCAGGGATGAAAGGTCCTAAAAATTAATATCTAGGTATAAATATTAATCATTGTTGAACTGTGGGAAATTTCACTGGAAAAAATTGAATCGTTATTTTCTGAAAGGGTGTATTAATATAAAAATGTTCTACCAAATCAAATGATATCTTATAATAACACGCAGATATTCATTTTTATAACAGTTCAAAATTTAGAGATAGTATTAAACTGTTAACAATACAAGTTTTTACAAATATACTTTAAGCAACATATATGTCATTTTGCAATTGCACTTCCTACTATTCATAATTACATCTTTCAGCACTGGATGTTAGCACTCGGCTGTTGCAAACAGCCAAGCCATATACAATTAATTTAATTAGAAAAGATAAGTATTTAAAGAATATTGTTAAGCTCAGATCTCCAGGAGAATCATAGAACAAGGTTTGCAGATGAAGCAGACAGGGACGAAGACCCACTCTCATGCCACAAAACTAGTCCCATGAAGACCCCACTACCTGTAACCTCCTCTGTCTGTTGCCTGTACACTGTCCTGGTATTATGTGTCTGGCAAGCAAACATATTCAAATTAGCTAATTTGAGTGGAAAAGGATATTGTAGCTCAAAAAATTTCTGGGGAATACATGCAGCCAGGAACACTGATGAGAAAGCCATCGAAATCTTCCTGTAAGCACACTATTTCGGCCACCATTAAGGTACAGACATCACAGCGGGACCTCAAGATCACCAATATGGGACAGTGGGTGGTGTCACTAGGCACCAGAGGCCACCGCTGCCTCTGGAAACGAGTTTCTTTACTGCTGCTGCTTCCCCCTCAGGCATGGATTCTAGATGCTGTCTACTGCCTTGGGGTACTGGCTTGGCTTAAAACTCTAGGCGGCCACCTCTGATACACTATTCCTAAGTCAAGTGTCTGTACCCTCATTACAAAGGAAACCGTGGTAGAGACTTGCTGGTATTTTTATAATCTATGCACAGGTGTAGACTCTGTTTCATTTGGTAGCAAATTGCCGAAACACAAAATAGACACTGGAGAGTCAAAAGATGGTAAAGATTTATTGACTATTCCATGAGTGACAATAAAGAAACAAAATAAGCTTGACTTTCTAATACTTACAAATTTTACATTAAACAGTATTAACTAGATTTGCATGTCAATGTATTCATTAATTGAGGAATATATATATGCTTTATATATATATATGTAAAGTAGAAATCTGTCTGTTTCATACACAGATCAAAAATAATAACCTTTGAAGCATTTTTAATTTGCTGAAACTTCTCACCTAGATTTTAAATCTCATTATGAAAAAACGTTGAACATTTAATGAAGCAAAACAAAATAATTGAAGCATACTACTTTTCTTATATATAAAATAAATTAAGAAGATAAAATGGGCTGGGCACAGTGGCTCACACCTGTAAACCCAGCGCTTTGGGAAGCCAAGGAGGGTAGATCACTTGAGGCCAGGGGTTCCAGACCAGCCTGGGCAATATGACAAAACCCTGTCTCTACTAAAAATACAAAAAAAAAAATTAGCCAGGCGTGGTGGCACAGGCTGTAATTCCAGCTACTCGGGAGGCTGAGGTGGGAGGATGGCTGGAGCCCAGGAGGCTGAGGTTGCAGTGAACCGAGATTGCACCACTGCACTCTAGCCTGGGCAACAGAGCGAGACTGTCTCAAAAAGAAAAGAAAAAAAAAAAGATGAAATGGAAAGGGAGGACTGAAGCTCAGCTTAAAGGACACAGAACAAACATTTTATAAGTGATAAAGGAGGTCTCTGCAGTGAAATTTGAAAACTGATTCTGAATGTTAGAACAGTTCAAAATATTTTATCTCAGTCTCTGTTACTTGAGATTTGGTATTGCCAACCTCAGCTTCCTAAATTTTTAGGTACACATAGCTCTATAAGAGGATCAGCTTTCCTGGCCTTCCTCTAAATTTTCTACCTGGGAAGTCTTTATGAAAGTCATCAGAAATATATAAATTCTCAGTATATGAGAAACTTTTAATGCTGGAGAATTATTCATAAAACTGAGCAGTACTCAGAGTGCAAATAAAACAATAAAGTTTCTTCTATTTGATGAAGAGGTTCTAGTCAAGGACAATGGAAAAAATGAGTCCCTGAGTTTTCTGAGCTGATTTCTGTGCACTAGTTAAGAAGAGAATTTTCCCACTAGACGGGAATGCAGAAAAAAATACATTCACATCTCAATTCAAGCCACCCACTCACTGATATTCCAGGAAGAAGAATTTAAAAGATTAGATGGATTTATAAGTAATAGCATATCCTATATTCTTGGAAAATGTTCTCTTGTGATAGCAAAAAAGACTGTGATTGCCTCATGCGGATTGCATGCAAATGTTGATTCATGGACACAGGAACCATGACTCATCAAGTCCGTGGGATTGTTTCTTAAAAGAGGAGAGTAGGAAGACAAGGCCATGGAAAGCCTCCTTTTTTCTCTTATTCTTTGACCTGTCTAGGGATTCTAGACTGAAGTCACTGAGAACTGGAGAATGTACTTACTCTGAGAATTGTTCATGTATTCCAAGACAGTAAAAAGTACATGTTGTGTTGTATATGTACATGGATAAGCGTGTTAAGACAGAACATGCATATTTTTAAAACTGACACTTTAGAATAGGAAAGTTTACATCTAGAAAAGCACAGCTCTGCACTGCTCCCATTAGACTGCATCAGGGAAGTAATATCGTATGAGTGCTGGAGAGAAGTCTATAATTACCAAAAGTTAAATCCTTCAAGAAGTAAAAGCAAAGAGATTAGAATGTGACTGAAATGTATAGGTCTAGATAAAATTGTCAGTATGTGTACAAGCCTAAAAATTAAATTCAATTTTACTCTTTTTTCTACTGATGTTGGTTGCCTCTACTAGGAATTTACACTTGGTAGAGTAATAAGTATTTATTCTGTACATAAATGCTTGCATGATCACAATCTATTAATCTAGCGAAATACAGATGAAGAGTCTGAAAAAGGGAATCGGTGGCACTAGTAAATTTCAGAGGAACTAATGAGAAACTTCTGGCAGAAAATAAGTGGTAAAGAACTTACTGTATCTGTGAATGGCTAGTATGCATATTTATCCCGATTTCAGTCCATTCAAACCAGGAAAATTAAAACTGTTATATAACATATGCTTATAGAATACACTGTGTGTATATATGCATACATATCCTTCTTGCTTTTCTGGTTCTGCCCATTAAGGCTTTTATAACGAAGAGATAAAAGTAATTATTTTTAGATTTTGGAACCACATTTATATATTAGATATTCCACATTGTGCTAATAAAATTGTAAACTGATTGCAAAGAAACAAAAATCCATATTGAATATTTCATATTACTATCCTCTTTCCCAGATGTTATTTGTTCTTGATCTTTATGAGAATTCACTGAGAAAGGCTATGACAGATTGTATTTTGCAAAGACCGTTGCCACAATGACTGCATCCCACACGCTCTTATTATACAATTGTTTTGACACTCCTTCCGTTGAAAGTGCTTCTCTCTCTTTGATCTGAGTCAGCCTTTGAGATTCCCACCACCGATAATGGGTCTGAAGTGATGCTACGTGACTTTTGAGGCAGAGTCATTCAAATGGCGTTCTTCTCTCTGTGTTCTTAAGATGTTCACTTGCAGCCTAGCCCCAGTGTTGTGAGGAAGCCAAGCACCCCTTTAAATAGCCCTAGTGCAGGTGTCCCAACTGAGGCCTAGATGAGAACTGAGGCCAGACATATGAGTGAGAGAGGCTGCAGCCCCCAGCCTTCCAGGCATGGCCAGCCTTTGAGCTATTGCAACTGAAGGTACAAGTGAGAAATACGATGTCCACGCCAAGCCATGCTCAAGATTCTTGAACAGAAGACATGGTGGTTGCTGTTGATACGTTTTAATGATAATTGTTTGGAAAAGTTTGTTTCAAGACAATAGATAACTGGAACATAACAGCACTGCAGCTATTTTCACAAAGGGGCAATAGCCAACATCACGTAGTTGGAATACGTCAGAACAAAGATGAAGATCCAGGCCAATTAATCACAAGCCTGATGCCCTTAGTGGTCCATGTATCAGACAACTTTTTCTGTAATCAATATCTCACAAAATTGTGATTTTTCTGCTATTAGTATTAACATATTTATTCATTTTTTATTTACCAAGTCCAAGATGCTGTAACAATTAAATAACACACTGGATATTTTAACCTTGTACATTAAGAATTCAGATACAATTAAAGTGAATCTACCAGAGATGATAAAAACATAGTCATGATAAAAGTCAACTTAAAAGAATGAAAAACACTAACAAGTTATATACTACTTTTTAAAATTCAAAATGTGAATATCTGTCAAACTAATTTCTTTAAATCCTAAAACTTAATGACTAAACATGGATAAAATACATTATCAAATGACCAATCTATCAGTATTAACAATTTTAAGTGGTTTGAAAGTTAGACTTGGTTAAGGGAGACAATGATTAGCACTTACTCTCTTTCCTTCCATAAGATTTTTTGGAATTCATCCAAATGCACCTGCAAAGCTGAAATTTCAGTTACTTCATTTTCTAAAGGCAGATTTATTGCTTTCAGTCTCAGCCCAGCTTTCATTTCACCATTTCCAGAACCACCATTGTTGAATAAGTCAACACCATCTAGATTGGGTTTCATTTCCTCACTTAATTTTAGAGAATCAATAACCACACCTTCTTCCTGAAAAAAAAAAAAAAAAAATTTAAACCTCTTGGAGAAAAATCGTGATGACAATACATTTTCATAAAGAAATACATGTTATGATACAACAACAAATTGATATTTTTATTTCATTATCATTCCCTAAAAGCGTTGTGTGGTCACACTTACTTGCATTCTTCTTCAAACTTATTTTTTTCTATGTTCTACCTCTTTACAAAAAAAATACATTTCTCAAAAGTTCTGCTTTAACTCTGTTCTCTTTTTCTAATCACGCTAAAAATAATCATGCACAAACTTGAACAGCTGTAAATAATTTTTAATGAGTTGATGAATTCCTCTTTCAAGTTTCTTTTGTCATAAGACACTTACAGTTTCAAAGTAATTATTTTTTAACATTTTTGAAAGACAAGATAGAATTTTCAGGAAGCTCTTGAATATTTTAAAAAGCTTGCTTATCGCTTTATTTTAGTTCCCCTTTTTTAAATTCATGAGTCACATCTCAAATAGAATTTAATGGGGCACTTTAATAAACATGGGCATCAATACTAGAGCAACAACTGCATCGACACTCTTAGAGTGTAACTCAAAAACTTCACAGGGCTCATGCTGTTGGTATTTGCCTACAATTTAAATTTGCCCTGGTTTATAAGTTTAAAATGAAAGACAATTTCAAATAAAATCTCAATGAATAGTCAAGTTCAAGTAAAATCTCGATGATACTTCACTTTTGTTTTGTTTTTTAAGTAGTATGTGGATGCCAGGTTACCTAGTATGATTCATTCCTTAATTCTCTCAAGAATGATCATTGCAATCATCTATACTATAATATTTTGACAAACAATAAAATAAGATGTGTTGTTTGAGGATACATATACATATCTTTCTTCTTAGGTATAGAGTTGGCAAAGATACTGGTCAAAATTTTAAGGAAAAAACTGATTGAAGCTTCTTCAACAGGTAATATTTATTTTCCTACCATCAGAAGGAATATCTGGAAGGATATTTTGCAAATAAATACATTTTTAATAAATAAGTATTATGTTTGATTTGTTCTTGACATTAACGTTAAGGAGATATTTCAGAAGAAATCCCAAAATATTGAGAAATTTCCATCATGATACATGTGAAGAGAATCCTTCATTTTCTCAAATGCAGAGGCTAGTAACTTACAATAATAAAAATGCTTTGTGGATTTAGAGAACTTGATGTGAGCTATGTTCCCTTATCCTCATCATTGCACTCTTCTAACGCATACATTAACACAGCTGAGTTTTGAGAATATATGTGATTTTCCAAAAGATACACACAAAGCTTAGGTTATCAGCTTTGAACTTTTTAAAAAGAAAACGTAGAAGACCAAATAAGCAGAAGTAATCATTGTATTGCAATCTTCTTATTTTTTTTATTTATAGTTAAATCTAGGTTTTACCTACCATAAATTATATACATTATAGAATGGCTTAAAATACTAAATGCAATGGTAGAGGTGCAAGATATTAACTAATGTGTGTTAGAGAAGGAATTAAGTAGAAAGAGGTAACAAAATAAACTGAAACTATAATAAGAGGTAACAGGAGTTCCCAAAGTATGTTCTTTGGGTTGTTAATATTATTTACCAAGTTAAAATAAAAGAAAAAGAAAAAACAGGGTGGTGGTTCATGGATGAATAAGTGATACTGAGAGACTTTTTAAAGTTACATGTGTTTTGTACAGAATTCTCAGAAACTGAGATTCTAAGTATACCAAGAAATTCCATCAGTGGTCCATATAAAGCATTTCCTAAGGTACCCTATTTGCCTGCAGTACCCATTTTATAAGTAGTTAATTGTGAGGCTTGAGTCCCAAACATTGAGAACTATTCAAACTACTGTATGGATTGTTTACAATTTAGAAATAATTAAGGCAAATGGAAAGAAATGTCTCCAAATATTTTCTTTTCAGATGAAAAATGCTGAGTTAAATTTTTCTATAAAGATTAGTAAAACCACTAGGATGGGCTGAACTTGTGTTTCCTCTAAATTTATTTGTTAAAGTCTTAATCCCCAGTACCATAGAATGTGACTGTTGGTGGAGACAGGGCCTTTAAGGAGGTGATTTAGTTAAATTAGGCTCATTAGGTGACCTTACAAGAAGAACTTAAGACACAGACATGTGTACAAAGAAAAGACCATATGAAGACACAGGGAGAAAATGGCTTTCTATAAGCCAAGGAGAGAGGCCTCAGAAGAAACCAACCCTGCTAGCACCTTGATCTTGTACTTCTAGCTTCTATAATTATAAGAAAATGAATTTCTGTTGCTTAAACCACTGTGATTATGGTACGTTTTTACGGTAGCCCTGGCAGACTAGTATAGTCACCACTGGATTTGTCACTTCCTTCTTCCTCCCCATCACTATCTATGACCTTCAGATATTCACATAGTCTCTGGATTTTTTTCTTACCTTATTATTTGTGTCCTCCTTTGTAGAAAATTTTCTTTTTACCAAACACTCTCTGATGGACTCATACATTTGTGAACTCACTTGAAATTGGTCTCTATGTTCACAGGCTTCTTCTGTGAAACCGGGAAGCTTCAGATCCTGGGTGTCTTTAGCTTCTAATGCCTCCTTCTGAGGTGGCAAACTCTGTTTCTTTTTCAGTGTACTCAATTCTTTCATCGCCATCTCTAGTTTTATTCTGAGTTGTCTTCCTTCCTCCCTGGCACTGTTCCTTTCAGCTCGAACTTTACTCCATTTTTCTCTCCAGTTGGCAGTGCAATCTGACCACCACCGCATGGTCTTTTCCATCTGAGCAGCTCTGGCCTTGACTTCTTCAAGCTCCCGCAGGCGAAGTTCTTCACAAATATCCCATTTGTTGGTGTTACATGAGTGTGCACAGAAATTGTGAGCAGCATGAGATTGTAGCCCATGAAGTGGGAAGCAGGTATCCCTGGGGGGTGAGGCAGGTGTTACCATGTCACCACGTGACTTAATTGATGATTGCTGCATCTGGAAGATCTGTGTTTCTTCAATTAATCGATGAATGGAATCTAAATTCATATTCATCTTTGAGACCTGAGAAAAGATAGAGGACATAATTTCATGCTGAAATTTCCCTTGTAAATACAGGAATAAGACCTACGGTTTTTTTGTTTTTGAAATTTGATGAAAACAATGCCACTTTTTTTTTTTTTTTTTTTTTTTGGAGACAGAGTCTTGCTCATGCAGTAGCATGATCTCGGCTCACTACAACCTCCGCCTCCAGGGTTCAAGCAATTCCCTTGCCTCAGCCTCCTGAGTAGCTGGGACTACAGGCACGCACCACCACGCCCAGCTAATTTTTGTTGTATTTTAGTAGAGATGGGGTTTCACCATGTTGGTCAGGATGTTCTTGATCTCCTGACCTCGTGATCCACCCACCTCAGCCTCCTGAATTGCTAGGATTACAGGTGTGAGCCACCACGCCCGGCTGCACTTTTTCAATATTGCATATTTTTCCAGTATAACTAAAAATATAGAGGAATTTAAACACTTGTAACTGTCCACTAAGAAATAGAAAATTCTCATATTCAATTTTGCCAAAAAAATACAAATAAAAATATAAAGATGCAATTGAAGATAGCATATGACATAAATCATTCATTTTGACAAATCCAGTCCTATTTAGGTCATATCTATTGCAACATTGTCCACTACAAAATACAAATTGTAATATTTATTGTCCACTAACTACTTAATGGTTTTCTTTATCCCTGCTAAGCCTCAATTTGTTCAGGCAGAATGCACAACCTATTGATGTATAGGCAAATAAGCCTCTATTTCAATGCCAGAGGTTAAATCATAGCCTACATTTTCCATGATGCCCTTCATCTGTTGACTATTGACTAGTCTCAAGGCAGCCATATGGCCTGACTCTGGCTGCTGGGATGTGAGATGAAGTGTGCTGAGATTTCCCATCCAGAAAAATATGAGAACATCACAATGAGGAACTCTCTTTCCTCTTCCTTCCTTGTGTTTGAATAAGGACATAGTTCTGGAAGAAGGTGAGTATAACAGCCTTCTCATGACATTCAAAATGGTGAACCATGAAGATAAGAGCCTGATTTAAGGTGTGAATTATGGCATGACAACGTAGAATGCATACCTCTGATTTCTTTGCTATTTGAGCAGAATAACCTATATTTATTTAAGTTATGATGGTTGAGTTTTCTGTTATTTTCAGGCAAAAGCACATCTAACTTATACATGAATCAATTTCTCACTGTGGTTAATATTGTGATAAGATCAAAAATAAAATATTATGAAAAACCATGTTTCTTGTGTGTCAAAAGTTTTACAGTCTGGTGGGTGAGAGAAGCACAGTTAAGTTTTAAAGATACATAATTTACATTATAACAAATACATGTATTTGTTCAATAATTTTGTTTAGTATGTAGTATGTGTCAAGTCATGTTAGATTATTAGGTATGGTTAAGGTGATCTAAGGAGTACTGATGAAGTACTGAAGTACTAAGTATTGATATCACTTAGAAATGAGGAAACTTTACAGCGTAGATAACACGACACAGTCTTTGCCCAATGCAAAGCTTCGTAAAGAAATTAAAATCAACTTTCCATATAAATACCAAACACAAATTAATTTGTAAAGGCATACCATATGTAACAATACATATACCCGATTCTTTATTCAACATTGTAATATAGGTATATTGAGAATATAGTAAGTAGACTTTTTGCTTTAAAAAAGTGCTCAAAACATGCAGCTTAATTTGTAAATTAATAAAGTTCCATGGCTGTAAATAATTACCCATTTTTATTCTCAGATATGCTTTTCTGGTGTAAATAATCTTATATAATATTTTATGTGCATGACATTTAATCCTCTCACTTTTTTTCATTTGCTTTTATATAGTTACAGATCATAAATTGCCTCCTTATGACCCATCTATTTAATCAACTGAATGGGTTTCATTACTATAACTAACTTACAAAATAAGCCTTTAATCATTGGGAAAAAAGACTACATAATATTTTAAAAGATGAATATTAAGGCTATCTTACTAAGAGATTTTATAATATTAAACTTAATTAATATTAACTTTTAATAGTAGAGAAGAAAACATTTTAACAAGTGTTATATAGAGATGTCAAACCACTTCACTCTTCATTATAATACTTGTTATAACAATATAGACACATGGTTGTAATTATTTTTGTTAGCATTGGTATATGTCCAATCATGTTTCAGTTATTGCTGATTTGGAGTATTTTGTTCCCTTCATATATTATAATTCAGAGGGCAGTAAGAATACAACTGACCAAACTCCAACACCAATACAAAAAAGAAAAGAACAAAAGGAACTCTTAATTAGAAACAGTGTGTATATATATACACATATATATACATACACACACACACACACACACACACAAACACAAATACATATATATATTTACTATTCACTGTTTAATGATATTTCTTTTGGTTGAAATTCCAAAGCGAAGACAGAGAATTTAATTCAGCATATTAAACTTAAAATTATCCTTGCTAGTTTTCAAAATAAATCAGTATCATAAAATTGTAATGTCTTTAAATGTCTCATTAACTTTTATTTCACTAGTGTTTTGAAGACTCTATAATTGGATTCTGGTACATTGAGATCTTGCCTACCAATTAACTGTGTATTTTTTCACATCTGACTAAATAAAAATGAGTTGGGCTTAATCAGTCAGTCCTTGAACTTGAAGAGTATTTCCTGTTTTAAAAAGTTTTCTCAGGCAAGGAAAATTTGCTTGAGATGAGGGTGGTTAACACACGTATGCATGCACTAAAGTCTTCATTTCCCTATACAAATGTGTGCACTCTTCGTATTTTAGCTCAGAGAACTATGAAAGTATTTGCCAGTGGTTGTAGAACAGGGCCACTGATAATGTAGGAAAATATTTTAATGCTGTTGACTCTGGTTTCTTGTACTGATTTTTGCATTGTAAAAATGCTTATACAATCAGTCCACCGTGATTTCTGCAAATATTTTTGAATGTAGTACATAACCAAATAAAATCTTAAGGGTCTACAAAGTATATATAATATCACTAACAAAATTATTTGTTGCCAAAGGAGGACTTAATGTGTCAGATAGTGGACTCCAGCCTCTATTGGGTAGAGTCTTACTCTGCCACTTTTTAGACGATGATCTTGCACCAATTACACAAACTGCCTTTCACTAAATATCCTTAGTATAGAAGGAGACAAGAATAGCATGGGCCTCATTGAATTCTTGTGACTATTAAAAGAGAAAATGCCTGCAGACTGGTTAACTCTAGCTATCCTGTAGGCAAGGCATACATTTTTGTTATACAAGTCATTAGTATGTCACCTTGACATACTAATTTACCATTTACTTTTTTGTATGTTTTTCCCTCTGTCTTTTGAAAGAGAAATGATGTACTTTAAAAAGAGGAAAAGCATAGGAAAAATGAAATCTACAAAAGTGCTCTGTATTGCATGTAACAAAGTTGCAGTTCCAATGTCTATATAATATTGATATTAATCAATGGAGTAGTCAGTACTATTATTATCCCCATCTTAATGATAAAGAAACTAGGATTTAGGCTCTGATGTATCCAGCCAAGTCATACAGTTAGAAAGGGTCAACCTAGTTTGGAAACTGAGGAAATTTGAATCCAGAGCTACCACCTCTTCATATAAAAATTCTACAGCTTTAAAATATCAACTGTTTTCACTATAAATCTTTTAGAGTATTTCAGGAATACATTTGGCATACTTCCACTTTGGATATTTTTATGCTAAAATATCTCCTATTAAATTACGCAACAATTAGTCTTCTCATCCTGACACTGTCCTTTGAGTTCATTCAATCTCCTGATCACAGCTCAAAGGGACTGTGAAGTCCGGGCCTGTCCAACCCTCTGGCCTCCTCTTTGTCACTTCATCTTCCACATCCCCTGAGTCGGCTACCCTGTATGTGTCCATTCCTTGCACAACCTCACCTCCACCTTCTCCTTGGTGCAACCTGTTTGCTCTGCAGGAGCACGCTCCCCTCTCTCCACAGACCCTCTTTCCCCTGGCTTCTCATCCTTCAGGTAGCAGGTTATACTTTCCTACTAACTAAACCTGTGATCCGAGAATTCTAGATCCCTTAGTGGCCCTTTGTCTAAGGGTGTCCAAGGGAGAGGACACAGTCACGGGTTCTTAGTTTCTGTTTCTGACTGGGCTACCAAAACCCCTTCCTCATCCCTCTTTTCCACCTATCACTAGAAACAGAAGCTAAAAACCAAGGTTTCCTGCTGCTGAAAGCCTAAAACAAAACAAAACACAACAACAACAAAATAAGGTGGGTTGAATATGCACCGCTGACCTGCTCCTAGAAAGTGAACAAAATAGACATCACTTCTGCCATCCTGAATGTTGCTAACAATCATGAACAACAAACCAAATGAACAATCACAGTTTTTAGCTATATCTTTGAAAGGAGCAGTGTATTGTAATCCAAAAACTCCCTATGTACTTAGCAAAGTCTCTCCCAAGTGACACTTGATGTGTTATCTGAAGAATGAAATGGGCCAGAAAGAAAAGCATTTTTGGCAGAAGTTAAACTTCCATGGCAGGATAAAACAGACATTACAAAGATGTTGTCTTATTGTTATAGTTATTGCTTTATCTTAATCTATAGAAAATGAAACCTTTGTTGAATTATTTTTCCTAAGAAGCATAGGACTTGTAATGCACACAAAATAACAAAAGCCATTTGCAGTGAGAAAATGGATTAACATAGATTCAAAGTACAATGCTAAGAAACAATCATTATGATAGATATGATGAAATATAATCTAACAAAAAGAAAAATAATCAGATTTTAATATTCGGGAAAATAAACACTTTATTGTATTATAAAATGTGGCCTGTCAAACAGGCATAAATGAAGAGTATGAAAATTCATTTCATATAGGTCTAAAGCAAATACATATATATATACACACACACACACGAGAATTTTTGCAAGAGTACACAGAATGTTAAATAGAAGACTATAGTTGTGATGATGAGATAAATG